CAAGCCTCTGGATTGAACAGGGATTTTGGTGATCTCAAAGATTCGCCGCTTGATTTCATGAGTATAAGCTTTCGGTGCTGCAAATAAAAGAAAGCAAGTGGGGAGAAAGAGATGGAAAAAGAACAAATCTTGTCTTCTCAACAACCTGTTAGCTAGGAAAGCCAGGCGAAAAGAAAAAAAGAGAGCAAAGCAATTAAGGGATGATTCACTAAGAACAGGGGCCGCACAGGAAGGGAAGGAGGGGAAAAGGGTAAGGGTACTGTTTGGGTGATTGAGAGAGAAAGGAAGGAAGGAGAGGGTGATTAATTGGTAGTTGTCTCTCACATAACCCAGCTGCTGCTCCTACTATTGCATAGGAGCATGAGCAATGAGGAGCGGCGAGGCATGGGTTGATTAGTTGAGATTTGTGTTGGTTTTGAGCTTGTTTTCGGTGGCAGAGTCGATGGAGTTCTCTGTGAAGAGAGGGCTGGTGGTGGCGAAAGCGATAGGGATATGTGGATCTAAATTGACAATTCTGAAAATCAAAGCAAACCCATCGCCGGTGATTGGTATAGGCACCGGAGGGAGCTTCACTGAGCTGCAACTGGTTGCTGGTCTTAATCAGAATCGCTTCCATGGCTTCTTATTGGGCGGATTCTGATAGAATTGAAGCGCAATCTGATGATTTGCATGATTCCACTCATAGGAATCGGATTAGTTACGAGACTGCTTCTGTATCACTGAAAGAGAGACCGAGACATTTTGATAAACCAAATAAAACATACTATAAAACAGATCTAAAACCTTGTAATGTAAATCATAAATCTCCTGAAACATACCAGAAACACCATAAAATACACCACAAATGTTTCTAAAGCACACCAGAAACCTCATAATGCAGACTACAAATCGGCTAAAACATACTAGAAACCTCACAAAGCAAACCACAAAATTTTAAAAAATACACCAGAAACCTCATAATGCAAACCACAAAAACGATAAAGCAAACCACAAAAACAAACCAGAAACGGCCTAATGCAGACCAAAAATCTATTAAAACAAACCAGAAACCTCACAAAGCAAACCACAAAATTTTCGAAAGCACACAAGAAACCTCATAATGCAAACCAGAAACACGATAAAGCAAACACAAAAACAAACCAGAAACGTCCTAATGCAGACCAAAAATTTATAAAAACAAACCATAAACTTCATAATGCAAACCACAGACACGATAAAGCAAACCACAAAAGGCATACAAAAATATGAGAAACCAAACCATAAATCTCCTAATACGTGCAACAAATTGTCTGAAACAAACCAGAGATCCCACAAAGCAAACCACAGAATGTTCGAAAGCACACCAGAAACCTCATAATGCAAACCACAAACGCCGTAAAGCAAACCAAGAAACCTCCTAGTGCATACCACAAATCCATTAAAACAAACCAGACACCCCACAAATCAAACCATACAATTTTCGAAAGCACACCATAAACTTCTTAATGCAACCCAGAAACATAATAAAGCAAACCAGAAACCTCACAAAGCATACTACAAGTATTCCGAAAGCACATCAGAAACACAATAAACCAAACCAGAAACCTCCTAATGCATACCACAAATCTCCTAAAACAAACCACAAACCTCACAAAGCAAACCACAACATTTGCGAAAGCACACCAGAAACCTCCTAATGCAAACCACAAACACAGTAAATCAAACCACAAAAAAGCAAACCAGAAACCTCCTAATGCATACCACAAATCTCCTAAAACAAACCACAAACCCCTCAATGAAAAACACAAATTTTATGAAAGCAAACCAGAAACTTCTCAATGCAAACCACAAACACGATAAAGCAAACCAGAAACTTCTCAATGCAAACCACAAACGTGATAAAGAAAACCACAAAAGGCATACAAAAATGTGAGAAACCAAACCATAAATCTCACAATGAAAACCATAACACTCACAATGATTTTACACTAGGTCAACTCAACTAATAAAAAGTCATCACAATCCTAGCTTATTATTGGTTGGAGACTAATGTTGTTACAATAACAACAAAAGGAGTGTTGTTATAGTATCTAGTCCCTTCAATATTGGCTTTTGTTTTGCCAAATAAGATCCTGAAACTTGTTCAGAAACTTTGTATGGATTTTCTCTGGCATGGTAATGATACTGGAAGGGCCAAAATTGCTTGGGATTGTCCTGCTCGTCCTAAAAAAGAAGGAGAGCTTGGCATTCGAGATCTCAGCTCCTGTAATTCTATTGTTCTCTACGTTTATTATGTTTTTAATGATGCAGCCAGGAGCTCTTTGGGTGGGCTGGATGCTCAAATATCGTCGTAAAATAGGGAATGTCTGGACTATGAAGGAGAATGCCAATAGCTCTTGGGCTTCGTGTCCAATTTTGAAGAAAAGAACACAAGGACAATCTCTACTCAGCATACAAGGGGACTGTGTTTTGTGGAATGGGCAACCAATGCATAAATATTCGATCAAGCTTACCTGGAATACCCTGCGTCCTCATTACAGCGAGGTGGCTTGGTATAGGTTGGTTTGGGGGCAAAGCAGTGTCCGTAGGTTCAATTTTATTGTCTGGCTTGTTATAATTGATGCCATTACTACTAAGAACAAGATATTGAGATGGGGGAAGGTTAATGATGATTGTTGTGTTCTCTGTCACAATAGCAGTGAAACACGAGATCACTTGTTTTTCAGCTGTGATTTTGTTAAGCAAGTAGTTACTGGTATCCTGCGAGTCGAGGTGGTGTGTAGATCTTCCTAGGTGGAATCACTAATGTATGTTTGCCAAGCTCTCAGGAACACACATGGAAGTTTCATTGGGGTAAAGTGGTGTATGGTGATCACTTATATTTGGCAGGAAAGGTGCAGACGATGGCACTCTGAACCGGAACGTGATGCTTCAACTCTGCAGGCATTAATGAAGTAGGATTTGACAATGTTGAGAATACTGTAGTGTTGGGAGATATTGTTTTCTTATTTTCATTATATTTTTCTGTCGAGGGGCCACAATGGCAACCCATTCGTTGTATCGGTTCTTGAATTGCTAATTGCAATTCTTTTTTGCTTACTGGTAAATGGGTAACTGATCAAACGAAAAAAAATTGATTTGTGCCAGTTCATGTCGATTTAACAGTAAAAGTGCGTAAGCGCATTACTATCAAATAAAATTAATTATATATAAAACATATTTGAAGATAATTTACTTACAATTCATATTCATATTTAAATAAAATACGACATTCCAAATAAAATAACAAACACACATATCTAAATACAACATTTAAAATTAATACCTACTCGGTTATCCTTCAATATAACAAATTACATCAACTTTAGCATAATAATAAACTACCCCACACCCCCCCCCCCCCTTCACCCACACTTAAACTCGACATTGCCCTCAATGACATAAAATAGGGGGTAGAACGATGTACCGAATGGCTTAAAGTTGGATAATTTCCCGGAGTAGATTGTTTGAGATCAAAGAGAAGACAAAACACAAACACAAACACACACACATTCTCGGTCGAAATGAGGTTATTACACATAATAAAAGTCGACATCACGATTCAAAGAAAGAAAAAATCACAAAGTACTAGTTCACACACTAAAGAAAATAATAATAAAAAACACAGAGTGCAAAATTTTATATTTATTGAATAAGCAATAAATTTATTTTTACTTAATTAAAATTACTAAAACGATGTCATTTGTGTCGAGTTTGTAAATCGATCATACTGATCATACCAGTGATGTTCAAGCCGATTCCATGACCAACATCAGTTGAGCCAAGTTCAACTGAACGCATGACAACCATGCACAAAAGTAAAAAAAAAAAAAAAAAAAACTGAAGCAATGTAAAATTCCTCCTTTTTTAATCTTATTATAGTTTAGAAGCAATGACCATCGAAAATTATCAAATGGGGTTCAACTTTGTGAGTGTCTTGGTGATTTTAAAATAACAAAGCAGTGGCGGAGCCAGAAATTTGAATGAGGGGGGCTACAAAATATACATGGAGTGGTTTGAACCATGGTCATTGGTGAGGGGGGAGAGGGCTACTGGCTTACCAACTAGTCAATTTTTAGAACTTGTTACACATTTTTCATGTAAAATTACCTATTTTTGAAAGTTGAGGTGAGCTATAGCCCACCCTGGACTTAACGTAGCTCTGCCACTGTAACAAAGGCAACAACCAACAAGAAGTAAGTCCAATCTAGTAAATTTGTAGGGAATGTATAAAAATATTGTTGATTGACCGAAGGTTTTACTAAAAATAATTGGTAAAATATTTTATGCTGAAATTGTGATTCAATAATTTCATATCGTTAAATATTGTCTACTGGTTTAGCATTCGATAAGAAGTTTTTATGGTCGAACCCCAATACATCCAGCTCCAGCTTGGTAGCCTTCATAGAGTCATGGGGCAGAGGCCCCCGGGTACCTTACCAGGACAGACTGTCCCAAATCTCAACAACCGGATGCCCAGCTCAGTGCCATTGCCACAAGGAGTGGCAAGGTCACAGCAGAGATCCCCGTTCCAGCCAGACTGGGGAATGAATCACCTCCTTCAGCACTTCTAGCTAGGGATGGCAACAAAACCCGAACCCACGGGTACTCACCCGACCCAACTCGGTCAACGCGGGTAAAACCCGTGTTGACGGGCTTTGGGCCGGGTTCGAGTTTAAACCCGCTACACTATTCATCGGGTCGGGTTGGATTTGGGTTTAGGTAAACCCGCCCCATGGGTACCCGCCCACACACATATAATTACTTTCCCGGTATATTTAATATTCTAAATAATATATCTTCCTTAAACAACTAATATTCTTTATGTTTGTGGAGACATGTATAATTTGTTCTTTCTAATTGTTTAGAATGAAGTTGATATTATGAAGTGGAGAGTGAAGAAACTTAGTTGACGAGGAAGAAGCTTTCAATTAATCTTATTGTTTATAGATGTTTATCTTTAATTTTGAACAATTTGTATTAATCATTTGCGGTTTGCTTGTATGCTCTAGATTGGTGTTTTTTGTATGATTAATATGAAAAAATTGATGTTAAACTTTTATTTTGAAAGAAACTTGTTATTGTAAATTTTTTACAACAAAAACCCACGGGTACCCAGCGGATTGGGTTGGGTTTGAGTTTTCAAACCCAACGGGTTTTACTCCCGGGTTTTTTCGGTGGATAAACCCATGGGTTTGGGTTTGACAAAATCCGCCCCAACCCGACCCGTTGCCATCCCTACTTCCAGCCGACGAGAAATAAATGGAGAAGGAGGTTGAAGTGCCTGCTCCCACACCACAACCAGTGGTGAAGGAGTATGTTCCTCAACTCCCCTTTCCTACCCGGTTCCACAAAGATTGCCTGGAGATTGAGTTCGCCAAGTTCATGGCGATGCTGAAGCAAGTCAACATCAGCGCGCCCTTCGTGGAGGCACTGTCGAAGATGCCCAAGTACGCGAAGTTCATAAAGGAATTCCTCACGAACAAGAGGAAGCTTGGGGAGCTCTCGACGGTGATGCTGAATGAGGAGTGTTCTGCCATCATGCAGAACAATCTACCAGAAAAGCGTAAAGACCTAGAGAGTTTTACTATCCCTTGCATTATGGGTAGCTTGCTGACACGCCTCTACCGTCACACTAGAAAGTGGCCAAGTGTAACCACCTACTAATGTGTAGTATAGCGGGTTCAGTTCTAAATGTCAACCCGGGTCCTAGGTGTGATGCCTACTCCGTGAAAATCTTATTATTTAGCGGGTCAAGTGTAGTGAAGGTTTAGTTTAAACTAGCAGGCAAAAGCAGTAGAAGTTGTGTTCAAAGTTGAGAGAGGTCACCCAGATATGGTTTCCCTTAGACTGCAGTTAAGCCATGTTGTAATTCGCCAAGTTCAAGTTCAATGATAGTTATACCGCGGGAGGTTCTTAAACAGTCTCTAGTCTCGACTAAAGGTCTACAGACCTTCCCAATCTGAGTTCCCAGCGAGCGACTAACCTCCACCGGAGTAAACAGATTGAGGCCCTAACGAACCAAACCTCCTCTACCAAAGTAAATTTGGTGCAAAATAGTGAATCGACTCCTCAACTTAAGTCGCCGATTCACTACCTTCAATCAAGGGTGCTCTATCAACCTAGGCAAATATTCTCTTTCTAGGTCAAAACAGTAATAACAGGAATTTGATCAGGATTCATGTCATTCAAGAAATCAAACCTCAATTGAATAAAATCACATCAATGAATTCGTACTTGGTTTCATATAATCAGACCTAATATACAAATCTAGGGTTCTTCATACCCGGGTGAATAGGAAAGTTTACTCCATTGAGAGAGAAGGGAAATCTAGTTCAGATGCGGAAACCATACTGTGAAGGATGGGATTCTGCTTCTGGCAATCAATCGACACTTCTTCAAGCTCAAGCCAGGCTCCAAATGGTGATGAAGATCGATCTAGGGCGATTGGAGATCTGGTTCGTCACTCTCTCTCTCTCTCTAGGTATCAGCTTTGTCTCTCTAAAACTCGGAACCCTTCAAAAGTTGGCCTTCTTTCCCTTAAGAATCAGCAGATCGCGATCCTCGGCCATAATACCCGGTCGGGTATTTTAGGTGTACGGCCGAGGATTTCAAAACGCACAGCAGCGCATAGGGGTTTAATACCCGATCGAGGTCCAGAATACCCGATCGGGTATTTTTGCTCTCCGGCCGGGACCCCTTCTTCCTTCTTGACGTTCAAAAATGCGAATCCCCGGCCTCCTTTAGCGTTTTACCCGGCCGAGTATTTTTAACTCCTGGCCGGGTATTTTGCTCTTCCAGCACCCTTCACTCTAGTGTCCTCCTTTTTGACCCGAAACTTGTTTCCTTGCCTTCACGTCAACGCCAAGTCCTGAAATTTGACATAAACACGCACCCTAGCGTGAAATCGGCTTAAAACACGAGAATCGACTCTCAAACGGCTCAAGAATGGAGGTATAAACATGTGCAATTAATGGTCTATCAAATTCCCCCACACTTAACCGTTTGCTTGTCCCCAAGCAAACCCTCAAACCAATGCAGCTCTCCAGACCTCCATAGCAACAAACAAACCCGATCGTCGGTAGAGGATTTCCTAGATCATATAGCAGCTTACGAGGTCAACTAGTCTTCTAAGACGTCCCCTATCTCTCTCAATGCGAGTGTTAGACTCAAGCAAGGATCATGAGAAGCAGTGGAATTAAGACAGCTAGTTCATGGATAAAGGGACTCACGCTATTCAACAACCAAAGACTCATTGTACCGGGGTGCCCTTTCACTTCATTTCAACCGTTGGAACCCCTTTTTGCACTTTCATTTTACGTTTTTTTTTTCATTCACTTTGCAGGGGTTCCAACTGTTGTCTTTTGTACGGTCGACCCTTATTAGTCGAGCAAGAGCAATTTCTGTACATCTGGCACTCGCCAGAGTACTTCTTTTAACTCCTTTTCCTCAACTCGTGTGGAGGGTCAATGAAATTAAGGGGGTTCAGAAGCTCTATCCGTGCCCTTAAAAACACATCCTCAAGTAGGCAAACCGTTCAACGGGTGAAAATTTTACTCGTACTAGAGACAACTTAGCTTCACCAGAGTACCCCACTAAGGATCACTAAAATCTCTTCCAAAACCCGATTTTGTGCAATGAACGGTGCCACACACGTTGGGCTTACCCCATGTTTAAGATTTCAATTATTCCGTCATGGAAGACCAACTGCTTTTCATTTCACACATGAGCACCCTGTTCGATACACGAGTCCATAACACAATTCCAAAGGAGTCACCAATATCACATGAATTCAACGGTCTTAACTCCATTAATTCACAAAATCAACCCGCACAGCAGAGAGATAGATAGGAAAAATCTTATACTTCAACATCCTCCATAGTGCTACACTACCTCCCTAGTGCTACACTACCTCCCTAGGTTGCATATCACCATAAAGACTGTCAATTTAAAGCATACTGAACAGGCAATTTGCAAGGAACACGTACTTGGAGCCCTCAAATCGAAATTTGGACGGTGGACTAGGCTCCAAGCACACAAACAAATCTAAGAAGTCAAATAGAAACATCCCCCACACTTAAGTTCGACATTGCCCTCAATGGAGAATAGGGAAGGATAAGGTGAACAATGTTACCGGTATGTGCGGACTGCAGTGAGACTGGAAGGTGGACCAGTCAGAGTGAAACGGATTGAAATGGGACCAGTCGGTGCAAAGGCATGGCTAAAGAATACACAATCACTCAAGCAAAGATACATTAGGTTAAGTTGTTAGCCCAATAGTACATCATCCAAAAGAAAAGAAAACAAACCATGGTGGGGTTGCCTCCCCACAAGCGCTTCTTTACCTTCTTTTAGCTGGACGCCCATGGTGGATGCTCAGAGGGGTGCAGGAACAGGTGCCTCCAAGAGCGGATCCACATTGCTCTTGTGGTACAGCTTCAGATGGTGGCCATGCACCCGACGGGTGTGACCACCAGCATTTGTCAGCTCGACCTGGCCATTCGGCAGGATGCAAGCGAGTGAGTACTCGGATGGCCAGGGTGGTCGTGGTTCAGGAGGTGGGACCAGCTCATAGTGGTTGCCACCTTTCTTCCGAGCAGGCTTAGCTGCCTGCTTCCTCGGCCGCCACTCCTCCTTGATCGTTTTGTTTGGTCGTGAGGTCGAAGGGAGTGGCGGCGAAGGATTGAGATGGGCATCCTACAAAATGAGAGGCACAGAAGGGTACACGACGGGCTCCTGCACTTGGTGAGAAATAGCATGCACAGGCGAGGCAGCATGCATATTATTAGTGATAGAGAAAGTTATCTGCTCCTCGCCTTTTCTCAAGACCAAAGTCCCATCACGGACATCTATGAGGGCCCGGGCGGTGGCCAGGAAGGGCCTTCCTAGAATAAGGGGCACTTCTGTGTCTTCATTGATGTCTAAGACAAAAAAATCCACAAGATAACAAAATATGCCAACCTTAACCAAGAGGTCTTCCACTATGCCCCTAGGATGAACCACAGATTGGTCAGCTAATTGAATACTCATCCTAGTTGCGCTGGGTTCACCTAGGCCTAGTTTTTTGAACAATTTGTATGGGATAACATTGATACTAGCACCTAGATCCGCCCGGGATCTCTCTACATGTAATTTGCCAATGAATACTCATCCTTCTGCTTCTCTGGCAGCTTGCTCTGCAGAATGGCTGAGCACTCCTCGCTCAGCATCACTGTCGAGAGATCCCCTAGTCGCTTTTTGTTGGTGAAGAGGTCCTTCATGAATTTGGCATACTTGGGCATCTTCGACAGTGCCTCCACGAATGGCAGGCTGATGTTAACCTACTTCGGCATTGCCATGAATTTGGCAAACTTAGTCTCCAGCTTGTCTTTGTGTAGTCGAGTAGGGAAAGGAAGTTGGGGGACATGCTCCTTAACCACTGGTCGTGGCTTGGGAGCAGGTGCTTCTCTCTCCATCCATACTTCTGCATCGTCGGCTGGAAGTGCTGAAACAGGTAGTGGCTCCTCTTGCCTGGCTGGGGCAGGTACCACCAATGTTCTCTTTCCACTCCTGGTAGTGATGGCATTCAGTTGCTGGTGAGGCTCGCAAGGATGGGAATGGTGGTGGCAGGTAGAGTTCCAGGTGCTCTAGTATTGTTCTGTCGCGTTATTCCTCCAATATGATTCTGGAGGTCCTGCAATATGGCACCTTGGTTCCTCTGGCATGCCTCCAGTGAGGCAATGCTCTGGTCCATCCTGGCAAAATTCGCCTGGTGGGTAGTCATGAATGCCGCCAGAATGTTTTTCAGCTCGCTTACCTGATTGTCTGGAGCTGGAGCTGGTGGTGGCTCGGCATACTGGCACTGCGGCTGCTGAAATGGTTTCCCCTGTCTGGGATGGTAAGGTTGCTGCTGTGGAGCTGGACCCTTCCTGGCCTGGAAGGGCTGCCTTTGCTGAAAACTACCTGTTGGTGCTGGAAAACCAGGTGGTTTAGTGGTGTTGCTGTTATTCCAGGAGAAGTTGGGATGTTGGCGCCACCCTTCATTATATGTTCCACTGTAAGGATCAAGGCGTCGAGCATTGGCGATGAAGTCTAACTGCTCCAGGGGTGTAGAAGTCTCCCGCATAGCCTGGCAGCCTTCCACCAGATGGTTCAAACTCTCACACCACTGACATTGTGCAACTGGAGACCCGACCAGACCTCTTCCCGAAATAAGACTATTGGGCTGCTTCAATGTCTGGACCAACTCGGCCACCTCCCGCTCTAGTCCGGACCTAGCATCCATGGCGTGCACACCTCGGTCCGGGAACTCCTGCTTCTGGTGCTCTGCCCCCAAGAATGATCCTTGGCATCGAGAGTATTGATCATCTGATTCAACTCGGGTGGGATCTTAGTGAGAATGTCCCCTCCTGGGCATAGAGACTCGATCACCCTCTGACTCTCTGGGGTTAGACCGTTGTAGAAATTCCCCACTGTAAATGCATCACTGAAAATGTGATGGGGACACTGCCAGATGAATACCGGGTACCGCTCCCAGGCATCACGTAGTGACTCATCTGGCTCCTGGCGGAAATGAGTAATCTCCCGCTGAATCTTCGTGGTCTTCGAGGCCGGATAGTACCTGTGCACAAACTTGTCGGCCAAGTCGTCTCACGACGTGATGGAGAGTGGGGGCTGGGTCTCTAACCACCTCTTTGCATGCCTCGCCAGAGAATGGGGGAAAAGGTGGAGACGGATCGCATCATCGGGTACACCATTCATTTTGAATCCATTTTTCAGCTGTAGGAACCGGGAAAGGTGCACTCTCGCCTCCTCATCCTTCAAGCCATGGAACTGGATTGAGGATGTAATTAGTTGAATCCAGCATGGCTTGATCTCAAAGTTGTTTGCTGGAATGGGCGAATACAGGATGACGGGGTGGATGTCGGCGACCCGTGGAGTGTAGTAGTACTCCATAGTAGGACCCGACGGCGGTGGTGGATGTTGAACCACATATGCCTAGGGAACTGGGTTGTTCGCCAGGACCTAATTCACTAGGGGAACCTACATGGGCATCCCGAGGGGTTGATTCTGATCTAGGTTAAGGTTCCCCCTGTTGTGCTCATCGCCCATCTCATATTCCTCTTCGGAGTCGCTGCTCAGATGGCCGTCGACGTGCACTTCCTCCCTAGCCAGTCTCGCTCGTTGTTGTCTCCTC